GTAGGCCAGGAGGACATTAACCCCCACTCCCCTGTGCCCAAGAGGATGGCAAAGTCTCCGATCTGGGATGTGGCAGAATGAACGTCCACGTCTTTGGAGGAAGCATGTGGTATTGTCTCTTTCTATTGTCTCTTGCTAAGAAGCATGTGGTATTGTCTCTTGCTATTTGCAATAATTAAATTTCCCACATTCTTTGTTACCTTCTGTATCTTTTGGCATCTTTTTAGCAATCATCCTGCCAATCGTCCTGTAGCCTACATCCCCATATATAGTCTTACAATCAGCTGAAGCAAAATAGCTTCAGGTTACCTGTTTAGTCAAGCACAGATCTGCTAGTTACTGTGCCCACAGTGGGCTACTGTCCTTCGCACTTGATATATTTCCTACCTGGCCCATGTGGCATCAGGACCCTGGTCTATTCTATTTTGGCAGTGAAAACACATTAGGAATTTCTTAATGGTCACTTCACATCATTAAGTAGAAAGATGAATGAGAGTAAAATCCTTAGACATGTTAAAAGTTAAATAGGTTACAGATCAGAAAAAAAAATCTCCTTTAAAGTTACTTAGAGTCTCTTATATTAGTCTATAATAAAAGCACAAATATTTAATGGGGTTGTTAAGTGAAGAGAATAGAACCAGGGAAGAAAAGATAATTTAGGAAGTAGAACCAATTCTTGATATTATATACAAATATAAAAATATATAAGATTTAAAGCAAAAAGAACCCATGATGCACACTTTTAAGGCTCAACAGTAGGCTTTCACATTACATGTCTTATTTTTCATTCTTCAGCAAACTTTGGTAAGGAGGATATAGGATTTCTTTCTGTATCTTTTCCATCTTTATTTTTGTCTCTCTCTGTCCTAGCCTTATCAATCGAAATTCCACACCATCCTTTAAAAACCATGTTAAACTTCTCCACGGCAGTGACCCTCTCCACAACACGTGGCATTAACTTGTCCTTCTCTGTGCCTAGCATTTTATATTTGCATTAGCACCTAGCTAAAAGTTTCAACATGCTAGACTTCTTGGGACACCATTTTTTAAAACTTCATGAACTTTTTTTTTATGTGAATTTTATTGGTACATTTTAGGCATACAGTATAATGACATTCATCATTGGAAATTTGCACCTTTACATAATCTCTCTTGGTTCTTATTTTTCCCCCTTCCCCTGTCCCCCCTTCAACCCCTCCATCCCTCCCTATTTACAAAGACTTTGTTTCCATTTTTTCTTTTTCTCGTATTAATTCCATTCCTTTCTTTCCTTTCCCCTACCCCTCCCACCTCCTTTCCCCCTCACGAACTTCAATGGCAAGAGTTTTACGTTAGTCATCTGAAGTTAACACAAGAACTTTGGGGGGCGGGGAACTGCCATCCAGATAATTTTTTTTAAAGGGATTGGGGTATTTGGCTAAAAGTCTCATAAGCTACAATTGTCTTGATCTTTTTAAAACTTGCATTTAGGATTTCTACTATTCCAAGGTTATATACCATATGGTAAACGTGGCAGCTGAAGATCCTGTGGCATTTTTGTCTTACGTGTAGCACTAAGTCTTTGTCAAAAAGGACTTTGTGGCGTTATGTCACATCCTGTGACTGGAGAGTTCCATATTTGTTACAGTGGAAGCCCAGGTGAGCTTTTCCCCCAGCATCTACTGGAGTAACAGTTACCACAGAAAGCAAATCCAACTCACCTTCATAGTCCAATTTTGAAAATCTCTTCTTCTGGGTCATCATCCAGAAAGTTAACACTTTTTTTTACCCCCTGTCCAGAAACTGTAATGGTGATTAAGTTTTCTTTTTCATTCTCTCTATCGAACAAAATTACAAAATCTTCAGAACTCTGATATTGAGAACTATTATTTTCTATTTCATTTAGCTTTACATTTTTTATTTCATTTGGGCCAACATGTATTATTTTACCAGAACCATCAAGATGGAGACAGATCCAGTCAGATTCTAAAGAACAACAGTCCATTTCTTGGATCCTATTTTTTTGCCAAAGAATTATCCTTTAAGGTACAAATATGGAAAACTCCTTTTGGTTTCTTCTTAGTGGGTGTGACGATGTAGTGCCAAGGATGGCCTCCACTCTAAAAGGCATTTTTCTGGGATGACATCTCCAAGAGCAATGGTAGCGAGTCTGTGATTTTATGCTGAACCAACACTGCCATCCCTATAATAAAACCACTTTCTACGTCCTGCCAGATAGGACTTCTAATAGTTCGTTTTGTTAAACAAATTTCTATCTATGTTCATACTTTTTTCTTCTATTATCTTTATCCAGTTTTAGGATTAGCACAATGTTGAGTTCCTAAAATGAGGGGAGAAGTGTTCCTTTTTTTTCTGCTTTAAATGTTTGATATAATTTATCAGTTAAAATATATATGAACCTGTTGTTGTCATATAGGTAGGTTTTTAAGTTAGGAATATACTTTCTTTACTAGGTGCTATTCAAATATTATATTTCCTCCAGAGTTAGCTTCATTAATTTGTCTTCCAAGGTACTTCTTAGAAATTGTCAAATTTATTTCAAAAGAGATTTTTGTAATATGCTTTCTATAGCCTTTTAAATTCTGTAAAATCTGTGGTAATGTCTCTTAGATCTTGATATTATAATTTTAAAAATGTATAATTGATATTGTGTAATGGGAAGAAAAGGTCTAAAGGAGCAGGAGAAGTGGGACGGGTAGCGGAAAGGAAAGAAGGGAAAAGAAAAAATATGAGAAAAGGGAAAAAATGGAAACAAGGTCTTTGCAAATAGGGAAGGGAGGGCAATGGAGAAGGGGAAAAAATAAGAACCAAGATACTCATGTAAAGGTACAAGATCCCAATGATGTATGTAACTGTATTTTATACCTAAAATGTACCAATAAAATTAATGGCAAAAAAAAGTCTGTGATTTTAATATGACAAGGGGTGCCAAAGAGAGCCTCTGCCACAGTTCCAGTGGCCCCACCCCATCTCCATGTACACCATAAGTCAAGTTTCTGTTGCATGAACTGTTCAGTGATTGGCTTGGGAGCTGTAAGGTTTGAGTAGTCCTGAGCTGTACATAACAATCCGTGAGACAGTAGCATTAGTAACATTCCTGAGAAAACTTTTGTTGATCTCTAGAATCCCTACAAATGAAAAGGGCAGGACATGGAACACTGCAAGGAATAACAACACTGGTGAAGGCCTACCTGCTGTGCCAATGCAAAACATTCATTCTGACCTGACTTGACTGTCATGACTTTCTTGAGGAGTGTCCCAGTTCACGCACTTGAATTTGCAATAAGAAGTGAGACGGTATTTTTTCAAGGATTTTCCCTGTCATTGCTGATATATGAAGTAGGCAGTTATGAGTGGTTAGTGCTGTGAGTGAGGATTTGTAATCTGATGGATTGGAAAATACATCCCCAATGGACATTCCCATAATATAGTATCCTCTATTTTTTTCTGACTTGGGACATCTTAGAATCTCATAAAGTTTTCTTGGCTCTGATGCAGCACTGCTGACACAACATGGATAACTGTCAAAATATGTTCTTCCTCTCTTATAGGTTATAGGTGACTTGGAATGAATTGTTCAAAGATTCTTAAATTGCATACTTTCCTGACACACCAATGCCCATTGGATGCCCAGGTTTTTTCTGTGCCCCAAGCCTGCATCACACACAAAGAAACCCAGGTACTACTGTATTCTAAACACTTTAAAACATTAACTATTAGTAGTAAATATTATGAACCTCTAAATAACCCTTTTAGGAAGGCACTATTATTGCTACTTATAGACAGGAAAACTGGGGCAGAGAGAACTTAAGAAATTGCTCATGCTCACACAGTTAGCAAAGGGTAGCCCAACTAATCACGAGTCAAGACCAACTTTTAACAATCTTTAGTGATTTCTCTCTTAGGAAGTAAGGAAAAGAAAATATCAGAGCCACACTCGTAGAGAATTAACCTGGTAACAGTAAGTATGATGAACTAGGAGACGTGAACTATAATAGTTACTATTATGTGTTAAACACTTATTTCCAGAAACTGTACTGTTTTACATATATTGTTTCACTTAATGCTCACAATTTTCGGGAACCAATATAATTATTATCCCCATTTTTTACAGATAAGATAAGTAAGGGTCAGAGAGATCAATCAATAACACATCATTGGTAAGTAATGGAGCCAGTACTTGAACCCAGTTCTGCCTAACCCCAAAGTCACATTCTGCGCTACTCACAAAATATGATGTGACATATGAGAAACATAATTAGAGTGGAAAAGTAAAACTTACGCCAGGCATATTTCAAAGGAGGAATCTTGGAGTTTACAAATGTTTCAGTGTATCAGAGAAGGGGGAGGACTCAAACATGACTAACACTTGATGTGTGAGTAATTTGGAGAATAGTGGCACTGTTCAAGGAAGCAGAAAGTCAGGAGAAGCCCAGCCTCCAAGAAGAAAATGAGTTCATTCTTAAACATGGAAATAATGCATGGAGCCGAGTGCTACCATTTTCACATTAGTTTATGTTATTTTTCCTTTAGATTTCCTCCCGAAATCCATATGGATATGGACTGACACTCCTGGTTCTTTCTTACTTGAACAGATTTTTCTGGCCTTCTTTACTATTTGAATAGCCAGCATGATTTTAAAAGTGAAGTCAAAAGGGAAAATTTAAGGAAGGTGTTAGTTTCATAAAGAAGTGAGTGGTTTTTCTTTCCCAGTAATTTTTGGTCTATGTCCAAGCTAGAGCAACCAACACATGTCTCTGCATGATAACCACCAACATTTTGACATAAGATATACCAGGCCATGTCTTGTTAATGGGAAAAAAAAAAAACCAATTCCATCTTTTTGTGGAAACTTTTGCTTTCTCTATACCCATCACTACAACCAAAGGTGGTAAGAAATTTTCTAAGAAAAAAATACATGATAGATGATAAAAATGTTAAGTTTCTGCAAATAACTAGTTTTGTGATCTAGGAAAGTAATTTGAGCATTCCGTACTCACCTAGTTGTCTCCTCTGTAAACTAAGTGGGTTGGCTATATTCAACTCAATTCAGTCTTGGCCAGTATTTACTGAACTGATGCTAAGGTTCTTTCGAATTCTTTGTTTTCCATTATCCGAAAAGGAAGGAAAGAGAAACAAAAAATCTTGAGCCTAAATAAGCCACTAAAGCATACAATTCCATTATTTTATAAACCAAGAAAGTAAGGTACAAAGTCTTAATTCATTCTTGATAAAAAGCTGATTAGCACCAAAGTACAATCTAAATCTAAGTCCTGATTCTCAATGTCATACTTTTCCTACTTCATAGTAGTCTCTTTTCCAATTGGTTAAACATTTTGGAAATGTTTCCCTTGAATGAACTCAGAGTGAGTAACAAGAAAAAAACACACACAAAGTCTAGCTGACCCAATAGAGATATATGTGTTGGATTTAAATTCTTATAAAATGAAATCCCATAACACTTCAACTGCAACATAAAAGTATTAGCCTGAGTTACATACTTTTTATAGCACAGTATATAATGGCTAAAGGCTCAGATGGAACTTCTGGTCTTATTACCACAGACACAGTATAACCTCCAAAAAGGCACTCTGAAGCTGAGTCTCCCGAGACTACACAGGATGCTGATGGTGCCTCCCTACCTGGGGAGTGCCTTCTGCCAAGTCTGCATGTGGCACCCACTTGGTTTTGCCACTGGAGGAGCAAAAGAGCAAAAAGATCTTCTGAGCTCATTAGACAGGAAAGATGGTAAGTAACAGAGGCTACCAGCCAAATCCTCCACCAGCATCTTAGATCCTCATCTCTCATTTCCCATCGCCTTACTGCTGGCCTGAAATAGATCCCCAAATAGAGGAACAACAAATGCAAAATTCAAAAACAGAAACTTTAGTGAGTCTGCTCACTAGAGCTCCAGGCAGAGGTACACCATGCCTGCCCCAAGGGTTGGCTCTGCTCCTCTCCTCCAGGCTGAGCTGTGAAGTTCCATACATCCATCTGGCTGTTACCTTGGGATTCCCTAGAACAAGGTGCCAATCAACACAGGAAAAAAACAGCAAATGGAATTAATTCATTATTTTTATAGATAACTCTTTTTACTTTCTAAATATGAGTGAAAATAAAAATAGTGAAATGAACCACATGCCTCCTTTGAGGCAGAAACAATCTGCAATATAAAGTTGCCACCTAGTCTGAACTTAAAGGAGGATTATCCTTTCTAATACATGGGTGCTGCAAGTCCTCCTGGGGTCCTTCTCTAAATGATGATGGGCTTCACTGTATTCCTAAATTCCACATCCAATGTCCGTAATATATCTCTTGCACTAACAAAAAATTGCTTTTTAAAAAAAATCACATTAGCATTCATTCAGTCAATCATCAACAAATAATGATTGTCACCTCTCTGTCAGGCCCTGTTTTAAGTGCTGGGAGTATAGCAGTGAACAAAACAGACAAAAATTCTCTGCAATTGGAGCTTATATTCTAGTTGAAATCTCTCCCTCTTTATTTTTAAAATGTTCAATTTAACAAATGTTTGAATGAATGGTAAGTACTACATGGTGCAATCTATGGGACTCAGACAAATTATATTATAAAGATGGGCTGCAGGCCAAATTATCCTAAGACCGAATATTCACATTTTATTACTTAAACTGGAATTTTGTCTCCATTCCTTTCAAGTCCCACTTTTCTTTTTGGTCAGCCTACTACAAATACTACAAAATGAAGATAATTCCTAGGAAGTATGTCTCTCAAGGCCCAGAATATAAAACAAAAGAAAAACAGTCTCTTCTAAAGGGAAAGGAAGAAGAGTTTACCAAGGATCACCCTTATTCAACTAAATTCTACCATTAGAGACTTCATGTTTGTATACCAAGTCTCAAATTCTTAAAAGCCAAGAAGTGGTATCTCAAAAACCACAATGAAATAATGAATAACCTGGCTGAAAACTTACATCAAGGAGGTTTGGAGATGGCCCTGGAGAGCCTGGTCTTGAGGGCTGCATGCTGGTTTAAGTTCATCTGGACCCAGAAGAGTGCTGTTGACTTCGAGTCATGGCAATTTCATCTTCATAGTGTCCAGGGTGGGGCAAGCTGTGCAAGGGTGGTTCTGGCAAACTGAAGTGTTGCATAATGCAGTCAGGTACAGAGCGTGACTTTTGCCTTAGGGAAGTAAAGTTATGAGGGTAAAAACCGATGAGGGAAATCAATTGCAGCATCAAGGGACAGCACCAAATATAGAAACATACACATCAAAGCCTGGGTAATCAAGAAAGCAGGTCTACAAAGAAAGACATACCATCATTGGGTGAAGCTACCTTTTATTCTTCCCTTCTAAGCCAATTGGATGAAAAAAGAAAAGGATTTATTATATCAGGAAGGAAGAAGGAAGAGAGGAAGGAAGGAAGGAAGGGGAAAAGGGAGGGAAAGAGGGAAGAAGGGAGAGAGAGAAAAAAAGCAGAACAGCTAGAAAAGCACAAGAATTTGCTAGCACAAAAGATGCTACACTCATCTCAGTTGAAACTCCCCTTAGAAGGCCAACCTGTAATAAAAGGAATGAACTAGGCTTTCTTGGCCATCATTCTTAAGAAATTTCCATTTATATTACTATCAGATACAGTCATATCTAAAGAAAAGAGCTAAAGCCAAACAAAAATTTTCAAATATTAGCAAGTGTATACAGGTTTTTAAAATCACAGAAAATAAAATATAGCCATGAACAAAAAATAGAAAGTAATTCTGGAATGTCCAGAATACAAATTACCTCCATTCTGAGGACAGTAGTATGAGATGGGCTCGAATCTTGGTTCCTTTCAGGCAGTTAAAGGAAGAGAGGTAACTGTACTACACAGCAAAGACAATGAGTCAGAAGCAACTCTATTTAATTAGAAGGACCTGAAAAAAAGGAGCCATTGCTTTAAAATGCCAATGGAAAGACCAAGTTCAAAACCATTGTAAGTTTTGCGGAATGACCTCTAACACAACATGTGCAGCTGAAACATCCTGTGTCAAAAAGGTTTGGGAAAGAGTGATGAATAGGGAGCAGGAGGGTAAGGTGGAGGTATATAAGCAGAGAAGCATATGTAACGTTTGTAATATTTTTTGTTGACTAATTCTAATCCTATGCTTTGGAATTACTTCAAAATATTTTAAGGGTACTGATTCCTCCTTCATGCTCACATTTTCATTCTTTTCTACAGCCTCCTTTACTTACTTTTTTTCTCCTGAGCACTCCAAAGCTCCAAGTTTCTGTGGAAAAGAAAGGAATGATGTGAGAAAAGAGAATAAGAATACAACCAGGATTAGAGGAGGAACCTGGCTTATCAAGATGCCCACTTAACCTGGTGAAAATTACTATAGAATGTGTTAGGGATGGAGACTTAGAAGAGAAATGCCACAATAAATTCCAGCCAAGAAGCATGTTAAAGCACTCAGGCATTTACTGCATCCCTATACATTCTACCATCTGGATTTGGAATCTCCAAAAAGCATATAGGCAGCTTTGCTTGCCAGAAGAAGGTGTATGTGAACAGAAGATTAAATGGAAATTCCTTGTTAGCGACCCCAAAGCCAACAGTGTTGAGCATGGATAGGGAGCATCCTGAACACTCTGATGGGAAAAGTTAGCTCTCAATAGCTCTTTCAGATAATTTAGAAAATGCAAGAAAATTGTTCATTTTCAGACAGAGGCATAATCATGACTGGCATTACAATGACTAAAAAGAGACACAATGTACCTCAGAAAACACCCCAAGGACATCTAGAAATAAATTTAGGCTCTTCATCTGTTAGTAAAATAAAAATATATATACACAAAATGTTACAAAAATAATAAATAATATGGGAAACATTATTTCCATTATTAAAGTCCATTTAGTGGCATTTTGAATTGTTAACTTTCCTTCCCTTCTTCTCGCCTTTTTATTATTCTTCTATTTTTATCCTGCCTTCTAATTCAAGGACAAAATGATGCATTTATGGCCCATCTCTGGAGCAAGATGAAAAGCAGAAGAGGCCCACAAGTTTTTTCATTGCTCTTCCAAGTACTTAGGAGAACATAGGTGTTTTTGTGAAGGGGCTGAATTTCTGTGCAAAACATAGAAAAAGTGTCTTGTCCAGATATAAAGTGAAAAAGACTTTCCCAATTACAGATTCCTCTGGTTTCCGGGTGGTGGCTGAGGAAGAGAGGAGAGTGCAGAAGGTCTGCAGGTTCTAAGAGCAAAGCAATCCTGAGTCTTTTTTTTTGTTGCTAGTACACTGGTACCACAAGAAGACCTAGAGAGGAAGGGGCTGCGTCTAAGCTAGTAGAAGTACAACAACTTTCTTACAAAATTTCCAGTTAATTTCAATAAAAATTAAAGAAATAAATCACCCAAAGGTGATGCATAAATTAGGGTTCTTAGCTTGTAAGCAAACTCTACCTGGTTTGAGCAGAATTTGTTACCTGATGCAAAAATGGAATTTACTGGTTATAGGGAAGTTCATGGAATCAGAGGCAATCTGGGAACACCTAGCTTCAGAAAGGGGAGGACCGTGGTAACTTTGATAACCTGGATAACAGGGGGCACAAGGCTGTTTTTTCAGGGTGATGACATCAGTTGGATCAAGTCCAGTTTTCCCACCTTGAGTCACTCCTTACAAAATTTAAACTCCTCAAGGGGTTGGAGGAGACTTGCTTGATGTCTTTCTCACTCTTCCTTCAGGTAAGGGAAGTAAGACAATTTATTTGATGGCTATAGAACACTGTAGGCATTAGGGGAGGAGTAATCCCTCCAAAGGAAAATAGGGTGCTATTACAGAAAGTAAGAGTGTGTTAGTGAGAATAAGAGGGGTGGGGGAGGAAGGAAGGAGTGAAGAGAGGAAGGAAGGAAGGAAGAAAAGGAAGGAAGGAAGGAAGGAAAGAGAGAGAGAGAGAAAGAGAGAGAAACACTAGGCAGGCATAAGCAATATATCCCCACTACAGGTGGCCACTTCAGAGATATAAAAATCTCATATGACATTCTTTATGTGTGATAATCAGTAGAAAGAAGTCAGAATGCAACTCACCTGAACACTACATTTACTGTGCCGGTTTCCTGCTTGCAACTATTTCACTTAACCATTCTCTCCAACGCAGCTCCAAATTCCTACATATTCTTCCATATTCTGCCTGCTCGTACAGCTTCATCTTCAATTCCTTTCCCTCCTTCCTTGCACCTTTGTCTCCATAATATTAAGAGACTTACAATTTCTTGAGCATGCTATCCTATTTCATATCCATGAGTGTTACACATGCCACTACTGCTGGGTGAACAATTCTAGCTCTAGGACCTAGGTGAACCCTGACCCTGGAGAATTACTTCTCACTTCAAGCCTCCCCTCATCAGAGATCCTCTTAGGTATCTTCTTCTCCAAAACACCTTTCCCTCACCACTTTCCTTCTTTACCCCAGTATCCCCACTGTATATGTGGCACATGCTTCTGTTTTTTATTTATTTACTGTCTATCTATCTACCTGTCTATCTATCTATCTATCTATCTCCCTTACAGATCAATGAGCTTCTGGGGACAAGTTCTGAATAAAGGTTGTTAGATGAGTGAATGAACTAATGAACTTTCCAATCAGAGACTAACATTCCCCAAGGGCTCACTCTGCTCGAACTAACATGAGTAGGTGTGCAGAACATTTCCTATGGCAATAGTTCTATACTAAGGGCATGAAGATTATCAGTGGGCAGGGACAAATGGTCAGGTAGGTGACAGAGTATTTATTAGAATGTCCTAATAGTCACTCTCCCAAATCCCCATGTCCATTTGCAAGAATGATGTACCATTTCTGCCTACTTTATGTGCCAGTATTACTTTTGCAAAATTTTATTTATCTTCATTTCAGTTTTGAAATGATGATAAATCTTATCATGTTTATAGCATATATTTAATTACTACAGAGATATTTTTATATAGTGAAGTATTTCATAGCATAGCCCCTTAAAATGTGGGCTGAGGACCCAGATTGGGTGGGGCTATGGTAAGGTGACTCTGGGCAGGTATTCAACCTCTCTGTGGCTCAGATACCTACTTTATAAAAGTGAGGCCCATAATAGTAAACGACGCGTTGGATTATTGAGGGGATTAATGATTCATAGAGGTAAAGCACTTAGAGTATTGCATGTAAAAGTGCTAAATGTTAGCTGCGATCATTATTGCAATACAAGGTACTCCATACTATATTACCACAATTTTTTGACCATTACAATAATATAGCAAAGAAGAAGTAAAAATAAAAAGAATGCATTTAAACAGAAGGGGTTTTTTTCCATCCTACTAGGATCCAAAGTCTTTGGTGAAGTAATTTTTAAGACCTAAGAAATAATTTGAAACACTATGACAGAACAATGCTTAGGGAAGATTTCCTAATTTGAGATAGACAAGACAGGAAAAGGAACTGCCTTTTAGTTTAGGAGGCATCATTTTTAAAAACAAAAAGCTTAAACTTTCAGAGAAAAGAAATCTTGATCCCACCTCCTCTGGGAAATTAGATTTACTGTAATTAATGAATCCAGTTAATTCATGAATCAGTATTCTATATTTTCAGTGTCTTATTTCTTGGGATCAGAGTTACAAAGTTTACTAATCATGTATCAGAGTCCCAACTTATTTACTCTGAAACTAATTTCTGTTAGAGAAAATTTAAATTTAAATAATTCATCTTTTTACCCACAAGTCTGTAAGTTCAGTTTAAAGGTGGTGCCATAGAAATTGGTTTTCCAAGCATGCTGGTCACTCAGTAATTGTTATACCATGACATATATTGTAAGATTGTTCAGGAGTTTCCAGATTGTCACTTTATTTCTATGAAAAGATACTTTGGAATCCGGACTTATTTCTGCAGCTTTTGCCGCTTACAAGTTGACTGATGGCTTTGCATTTTATGGTGGCCATGAAAATAAGTACTGATTCTAAAGTCCGGGGTCAAAGCCAAAGTGATTAAACACAAAGTGATAGTCAAGCCTTTAGACTACTGGAATCACTGAAATACTTTGCCCTCTTTTCTGATCTCTTAGCAGTTAGTTAGCTTTTGTTCAGATGTATATTAATGAGTAAAGTGAGAGTACTGGCTATGAAAAAATAACATCTATTTCAACATGTTTGGGACAATATGTGGGTATGTCCTGGGAAAGGCATGTTATCTTGGAAAACCTTACGGATTAAGCTGAATTTGAAATCTAAAGGTTTCTAAGATAACAATAATAATGTATATAATATATTATAATATTAACAATATTAACATATTATAATATTATTATAGCATAATAATATTCTTTGTATCTAAAATATACTCTTCCTCTCTCTCCTTCCTCAAGCCAAGTTAGAAAACCCAATCAAATTACTTGTAAAAACAAAAAATGCCTGTAAAGAGGTACAAGTAGAGGTTGGACATATACTTAGGTGAACTTGCTAATCTGCTGTCTGTAGTAACCTAAGCAGGAGAAAAACAGTGCAAGACAAATACAAGTGACACCAGTTGGAATGGCAAGATGCTTCCCAGAAGAAGAAAGCCAAGTTTGAAATAAAGTGTTGGTTCTTGGCCAAGACAGCTACATACCAAGTGAGGGACCCCCAAAATTAAGAGGCTGTGGGGCGGATTGCTAAAGAAGATATCAGAAGAAGTGGCTTTTCTAACATCAAAGATCTTTGCAGAGGCTCTTACATGACTACCTGAAGAGTGCCTCATCAGATAGAGGCAGCATGTGGATGTCTGCCAGAGGATATCAAGAGCAGTTCCAATTAAGTGAGAGATCTTTGTAACTTCTGCCCAGCCTTCCACTGAGAACCCACAGGCCAAGAAACAAGGAAAACTGATAATAGAGATGAGTAAGAAAATGGAACTCTTTCAAGGATATCTCTCAGTCTTTGAAACATGATTGGATTGGGAGGGCCTCAGTGGATGAGGGACAAATAAAATTCTGTATAAAATTGGGCTGAACCAGACTGGACTTTGTGTGTATGTGTGTGTAATACTAGTCAAGGCCTTGTGCATGCTAGCCAAGTTTTCTACCACTGAGCTACATGCCAGCCCCAGATGGGATGTTTTATTAACAGGAAGACATTTGAAAGATATGACAGTCTGCTGGAGAAGTTAAGGAATTTGAAGGGAAACTTTATCAGCCACTTGAAAGCAATGATCAACAACAAAAGTAGAATCTTTTCATTTTTATAGCTGCCTGAGTCTAATCCATCCAATGACCTGGTTTTACAACCAATTGCAG